ATTGTTGGAAATATCACCTATATGTTCAATCAAATCTTTTAATGTCACGTGATATAGTTCCTCAAGTCTTTTTGCTGTTTACAGGTTTGACTATGACGGCTTGGGAACCTCTGTAAAGCTGGACTACATGACTTCTGCTCCACAGAACAGCACTTTCAATTTCCAGCTCAACACATTTCCTCAACAGTCTAACACTTTATTAACTCAGCAGACAAATAGTCTCCTACCTCAGCAAACAAACACATTGTTACCCCAGCAAACCAGTTGTCTTATGCCCCAACAGTCCAGCACAATATTGCCCCAGTACTCCCACCTGTCGTACCTCACGCCCTCTCCCTACCTCACACCCAACTCCACAGAGAGCAGCAGTGCTCCTTATCTGCCCCTCACCACAGGAACCAACAACACTCTGCCCGCATACACCAGCAGCGGACATGCGTATCTCCAGTCTCAAACTGGCAACCAGATGCTGCTTCAGTCAGGAGTTCATGGTAAGTCAACCACATTACACCTTTGGGGAAAAAACATCTTAAAGTAGTAACTTATGTGTTTCTATGAAGCATTTCAGGCTTACCCTTGGACAACTGACATGTATAGTCAGTCGGGTCAGTATACACAGGCGGTATTTCGGCCACAGTTATCATCACAGGGTCACGAGAGACAATACTCCCAGCTCCTGCCCCAGCAGCAGTACGTTCAGTTTGAAGGAGCGCCGCCGCAGCCCAGCCTACCTAAACCCACCCCTGACCCCCTTCTGCCCAATGTCAAAGTAGAGTCTGAAGACATGGGCCACAGCCAGCCAATCAGAGTCAGTGAGGCAGAGCCCAACTTTCATTGCGATTTCTCACCAATCAACTTTTAACAACAGCAGGTAATGCATGATTTTTTTTTTTTATTGTGGTATGTGAATGGAGAGCCTATAAGTACATATTGTGTGTTTTATAATTGCTTGAAGAACAATACAATTAATGATCATTTTTGGAAAACTAGATCAGGGGTTTCCAACCTGGGGTCAGGGAGCTGACCGGGGATGCTGGGGGGTGTAAAGACTGGGGAAAAATTAATGAAATAGTTCATATTATTAAAAAAAAGTATGTATTTCATCTCTCCTTGCAAGGTGCAGGGAGTATTTGTGTTGTATTTGTGTTGAATCTGGATTATTAGAGTTAACAAACTTAAACCATTAAAAAATAAATTTTTGTAAATGTAAATTAAATAAGCATTAACTGAAATAAAACAAATTAAAAAACTTAATAAAAAGACAAACTTATTTCAGCTAATGCCAAAGAAATATTAGTTTAACTAAAATAACTCAAACTAAAAGTGAAATAATAATAAAAACTTTAACATGAAAACGGGGGGGGGAAATAAATAAAAACAACTTTAAAATATTAATAATTACTTGCATCTTAGTAATACTAAAACAACACAGTGTTGTATCCTTATATTTAAAAAAAAATTTGTATAAATGTTTTCTTCGGGTTTATAAATCTGACAGTACAGATAATAATATTTATATTTATTTTGACATTCTAAATGTCAAATATTTTTGTGACAGTCTAAAAGTCAATTTAATTTAATGTGTATACCATTTAAATGAGTCTTGATACTTGAATATTGTCTCTTGTGTTGTTGACTAATATTACTGATAAATGTCTGTGTTGTATTTCAGGGTACTGACTGTGAAGATCTGCAAGCAATATTTTCATTTCTTTATATGTCTTCTGTTTTTTTGTTGTGGTGTGCAGGAGCTATTAAAATGCTCTTTCACTGATGATTTACTGTGTTTGTTGTTATGTATGTTCACAAGATTTAGTGGACTAGTAAACTAGATTGATGCATATCCACAGCCAGTAATGTATAGGACCTGTTTGTCAATGACACAAATAGGAATCACAGGGCCCAGGACAAACCATTATGTTCAGACTTCCCTTTTAGTTTAATCACAGATTGAGGGAAAGTATGTACAGTATGTGAGAGCACCTGTAGAAGAGACTGGCACTTGCCACAAGGGGGCGCTGTTTTACAAGAGCATTGATCTCAGTTGAAGAGATTGCACAATCCTCTACAACAAGCTTCTGAGGTCTTTTTGAAAGTTTTGTTGCATTCAGTTTGTAGCATTCAGTCCTCCTCTTTCAGGGCTTGCCTCTTTATACTTACCACGATATACTTTATTCTCTTTCTCCATAGCTTTACTCAACTACTCTCAAGTGGAATTGAGAGAGTGTATTTGTACAAAGAAAATTTTAAAAGATGTCAAACATAGAGTTTTTAAATTTTAAAAGATGTCAGAAACACAGAGTTTAGGCTATGATCAGATCAAAACAGTTATTTTTGAATAATCGACTCTGGGTTTAATATTTCTTTATTTGAATGACTGAAGTTTGATTTAACAACAAATCGAAATAGGAACAAAAAGAAATAAAGAGATTTTCTAATAGGCTAATAATAATAATAATAATA